GGGCCGAGGCCGCTGCCGAGCTGGGGCGGGGTGGGCGGGAGCCCCGGCGCCGTGCCGCAGGGTTGCCCGCCTGCGTTTGTCGGGGCTCAGCACACTGCCCTGGCAGTCGGCGAGTGTAGTTTTTTTTTTTTTTTTTATGTTTTTATTTTTTTGTCTTTTTGAGACAGGGTCTCTCTATGCAGTTCAGGCTGGCCTTCAGCTCACTTTGTAGCCCAGGCTGGCCTCGAACTCGCAAGGATCCTCCTGCCTCAGCCTCCCGAGTTCTGGGATTACAGGCATGCGGCACAGCAAGGAAGAGCTGCGCACGGGCTGAGGGTCTGCCATCAGCTAAGTGCCGAGCTGGGCACCCGGGAGAGGGAGGCAGGTAGGGACGGCAGAGTTGCCCAGGGAGACGCGCTGGGCAGGAGGGCGGCCGCGTGGCAGCCGGGAGTGTTGGGTAAGCAGGAGGCGCACTTCTGTTAGTGAACCGCAAGGACTGCGGTGTTGCCACTGCCGGAGCCCTGCAGCTGCAGCTGGCCCCGCAGCGGGGTGAGGGGGTGTGTGTGTTGTGTGAGTTCTCACCGGCTTCTCAAGCTCCAGCTGCGAAGGAAATAACTCCCAGAGAAACCCTCTTACTTTTTTCCGGTATTGGGAATCGAACTCACGACCTCGAGCTTGCCAGGCAGGCGCTATGCCCTTGAGCTAAATCCCCAGCCCTTTCATTTTGGTTTAAAACAGTAAAGAACAATAACAAGGCAGAACACTTGCGTGTAGAGTCAGCTGTGAAAGTAGCACTTGTGTCCCCACGCTGTACTTGAGCTCTCACAGGGAGGAGACGTGTTTTAACTCTAGGAGGCCCAAGGCACGTGTGCGTTGCCAGGGGTGTGCGTGTGGCTTCAGGAACGAGCGGTTTACTGCAGCAGTCGGGAGGTGTGCAGACGCACGCCGAGTCAGGTCTGGGGAGCAGGAACCGGCCTGAAGATGCTCACTGGCTGCAGCCCGGCGAGAGCTGCAGAGCAGCGCTGTGGCGGAGGGGCTGGGCGGGGCTTGCTCGTGGGGGATGCGTGTCGGAGCGTGTCTGTGCAGGAGTGCGGGGCCGGGCGGGGCCTGTCTCATGCCTGCCCCTTTCTTGTGTGTTCCAGGCGCTGGAGTTCGAAGGCTGGGCAGACACCCTGTTCCTTCTGCAGTTCGCCCTCTCCTGCGTGATGGGGTGAGCCTCCGCTGCCTTGTGGCAGACGCTTCTCCTGGGGCCGCAGGCTGTCCTGGAGTCTAGCCTCATTTCTCGGGGTCCTGTGAGCCTCCTGAGCCGCGAGCCTTGGGATCGGCCGGCTTCGAGCCCTTGGGCGCGGTCTGAGGACTGCGGCACGGCTCCCCGGCCCGGCTGAGCAGAACAGGGACCCCGGTGCTATCCCAGAGCCCGTGTGCGGCAGCAGCATCGTGCTCCCCCGTGCGTCACGTCGCTCTCCCCAGCGCCCATCTGACGCAGGCTGTTCCTCCTGGGCGAAAGCAGGGGCGGGGCTGAAGGAGTTAGGGGGGCACTGGCCGCGTTCGCACGGGGCTGCTTGGCCTTTCCCTGCCATGCTGTCTGCACAGAAGACACCTCTTCCCCGCCCCCGATGCGTCCTGACCCTTTCCCTCGCCGGTTTGGCTGTGTCTGGTGACAGGGCCTGCACGGGCTGAGGTGTGTAAGAGGCCCAGCGCCGGGCCAGCGTGGTGCTGAGGCCGCCCTGCCTTGGAAGTGTGGGAGCTCCGCGCTGCCGCTTGGTGGCCGATGCGCCTGCGCCCCTCTCTCACTGGTTTTCGTCCCCACTGTCCCGAGGGAGGGGCGTGGCTGGGCCAGCGTCCGCCTGATTCGAGAGTCCCGGGACGCGTGTGGTCTGAAGAGTGCTTGTGGCCGTGGAGACAGGGTCATGGTGCTGCTTGAGGGCGGCAGGGACACGGCCAGGTGGCGGGTGCGCCATGCGGGCCGCAGCCTGGGGCCGCCCGGGGCCGCCTGGACCGTCCTGGTGACCGCCTCTCTCCCCGCCAGGTTCATCCTGATGTACGCCATCGTGCTCTGCACGCAGTACAACTCTGCTCTGACCACCACGATCGTGGGCTGTATTAAGGTGAGTTGGAGAGGACACCGTCACGGTGCGGCCTTGCGTCCTGTGACCCTCGTCTCCTCTTCGTCGTCTTCGTCGTCCCACACCCGGTGGCAGCGGTCAGAACAATCTCCAGGAGCGCAGGGAAGGCGCAGCCCGTCCTTGTGGGCGCTGGGCCCTGTGGGGTGCGGGAGGGAGGAGGAGCGCGGGGCACCTCAGCGATGGCCGCCCCGCTGTGCCCGGCGAGTGCCGCGCTGCTCTCCGCCCTGCTCGGTCCTGGCTGTCGTGGAGCCGGGCGGCCGCCGGAAGCTCATCCAGGGCCCTGTCCTCGGCCTGAGCGGAGGCGGAGCGGCCACTTGGAAGAGCTGTGCCGACACTGCCAGCGCTGTCACCCCCGTGTGTGTGTGGGAGACCCCTGTCGTCAGCCTGGATGGCCAGGTTGGCTTGGTGTTGCGGACAGTTCGCTGGTCCTGGCGCTGTAAGAGGCCGCGGCGTGCCCCGTCCCGGTGATTGGCCGAGCGGGCCTGTGCTCGGGGGCGGGGGCGGCTGTCTTGCGCCTCCTTTCTGACGCCTCAGTGACCGAGGCGGTGTCCACAGAGGGGCGGTTCCACCCATCTGCTGGGTGTCCTCTGCGCTCCCAGGGGAGGCGCCCGCTGCAGCTCGTGTTAGAAGCCAGCCTGGGGCAGAGCTGCAGAGAGAGCGGGGGTGCTTGGCAGGAGAGAATTGTAACTGAGAGCCGAGCAGTCAGCCACGTGCACTCTCCGGAGGGCAGAGAGGGAGGGCCCTGGGCTGGTGCAGACCTTTCACTCCCCCGTTAGCCCGCGGCCGGGCTCTGGCTTACCAAGTGTATGGCCCAAGCGTGAGGGGCGGCCCACACCTTCGGAGTAAGTGCCTCGGACGGGCACCCAGGCACTGGGCAAGACCAGAGGTGCAGGCAAGCCGACGTGTCGCTCAGTAACGGAGCCCGTTTGCGGTGTGTGGCCGTCGTGGGACACAAGCGCAGCGCCGTTCTCCTGGACGCGGAGTTCGCACTTTTCTGCAGACACAGTGCTCCTCCCACGATAGTTTCGGCATCCCATGGACTTGCTGGCTCCAGAAGGGCTCGTTTTATTTCAGACTGTACAGGAGAGAGGAAAATGGGGTCACCAGCGGGGCCCTTTGCTTCTGCACCTCAGCTGCATGGCATTGCTCTGAGCATGGCGCTGTCTCACCAGGCGGGCGTCCCTGCAGCCCTGCCAGGCAGCCTCCCCTTACTCTCCAGCTTAGCTGTTGTCCTCCCACGGGCCGCCGAGCTTCCTTCTGTCTGGAAGATCTCGGCCCCACAGACCCTTCGGTCAGAGCTCTTGTGTCTGTTTGGTGTTGTGGGAAAATCTCTTGGGACTGCTAGATGGAAGTTCGTGGGCCTCCCCAGAGTACACCAAGTTGCAGTCATAAAGGAGAGCCTGGGAAGCTTCACTGTGGACCAAGGTTTTCAGATGATTTTCAGGCACACTCAAGTTTGAGCATCGCAGTCTTGCCTCTGAGCTAGCAGGATACTCTTTTCTACTTCCTAGTAAGTTCCATTTGGGTAAGGTTGGAGTCTCTCCCCGAGAGCAAACCTTGCTTGAGAAAACATTGTATTGGTCAGCTTTATCACCACTGGGACAAAGTATCTGACACTCACAACCTCAAGGAGGAGAGGGGTAACCCAGGTCATGGTTTCCGAGGGTTCAGTCCGTGGCCGACTGCTGCAGAGCAGGAAGGTCGTGGCAGAAGGCTGGTGGAGCAGAGCTGCTCAGCTCACAGCAGCAGGAGCCCAGGAGAAGAGCGCCCCCAAGAGTGGTGGCGGGTGCCCTGACGGCAGCCCTGGGACCGCTCCTACGCCTGCGCCCCTCCTCACAGCATATCCTGCTGGGAACAGCACTGACCTACAAATGTGAAAGGAAGGCGATCGGGGAGGAAGTGAATAGTAGTTTAATGTGGAGATTTGTTCTCTGCTTTTGTAATCTGAGATTAATTTAAAGGGAGCCAGAACAAGTTTGTAGCTGGGATATCAGGAGTAGTGATTTTAGGCAGAATTCTTTGAAGCTGCCTCTCACATATTTTTTAAGACACCAGGAAGGTTCTGCTACGTGCAGTCTCCATGTTGGTCACGTCCAGTCTGTCCCCTCTCCTCTTAAGGAAGAGGCTTGCACAGAAGCGGCATTTCCTTCTTCACCGTCCCCTCAAAGCCCACGGTTGCCCGTGGGAGAGAGGCCTCCTGTCACCATGCACAGCGGGGGGAGGGAGGGTTTGATCATCGCGTTGTGCTCTTTCCCCGTGAAAGCGTTCGTTTTCAGAGGAGCAGATCGGGGACAGGCCCGCGGCACCGATTCTTCCCTGTGTCCGTGTCACGCCACACGCAGCGTGGGGTCGATGGATTTGTGTTGTTCATTGCGTATTTGTATTTAGATATTTGAGTCACAGCGTAGATGAGTTTATATCTATTTTTTAAAAACTCAGTTAAGCCTGTGTAACAATATCTTGCCATTTTTCTTTTTAGAATATATTAATAACTTATATTGGAATGGTCTTTGGTGGAGATTATATTTTCACGTGGACGAATTTCATTGGTTTAAATATCAGGTAAGTGAAGATGTTAATTACAACCACACTGCCAAGGGTCTCAGTAAGGTTGGGTTATTAATCAAATGGCAGATTTGCTCACTTACAAAATGGACAGGTGTGGAGTCCCAGCAGTGTGCTAGACAGGTAATGCCTCTAGTCAGTGCTTTTTAAGAAACGGGGAGAGAATAGCCTCCTAGCCTGCGCACAGCGTGTGGGAGATCTCTGTGGACGCGAACACCCTTCCTCAGACCTCCGTCACGTCGTTATGGCGCTGGATGGCGATGCCGTGTTCTCAGGAAGTTTGGGCAGAGCCCAGCAGCCATGTTGCGGTCACTTCTCGGGCATTGACCTTAGTCCTGTCACTGCTGTCAGGGGCATCAGCAGAGGGGTAACTTACTGTATAAAGCATCTTTTTCTCAGTTCTAGTGATTTGAATTTCATAACTTGAAATACTATTTAAATGATAAAAAACTACCAGGTTTATATTTGGGCCAGAATTTTATCCCAAGTCAGACTTGGCTGTGGAACGGCCCCCTTGATGTCTCTGACTGACAGAATCCAAGCGTGTGGTCCTTTGATTGCCTCCAAGTCTGGCCCACCGGCAGTCTCTGTCATCTTGGTGGGGCCTCCACCTCCCTGCTGCTTAGCCAAGAGCCTTGCAGCCGTCCTTCCTCCTCTGCTGCGGCAGCTGGCGTAGTTGCGGATGTTGTTGGCGGAGCCTGGCTTCTCACAGGCAGCGCCCTGGGGTCTTCGTGTAAGCCCCGCCCCCCTGGGCTCTCACATGCCTGTGCCCGGCTGGGTTTCCTGACCGCCCCGTCCCTCATCGCTTCTCAGTGCCGTGGACAGGTGTGCTCAGCAGAAGGAAAGCCAGGTGTGTCGTCCTTTTAACGCCCTCACCCCACCTGAGTCTGCTAGGCCCCCTAGTGCTTGGGACACCCTGCAAGCCTGTCCCTCTTCCCCCTCCTGCGTCAGCTTTGGCATCTCTCCCTCTGCGCTGTCCACGCCTTCCCGTAGAGCGGGTGGGCTGGGTGTCTCCTCCGCCTGCAGCAGCGTCCTGCCGGCTGGCTGCTTGGTGAAGTTCTTCACACCTGCATGCATTTGCTCAGATGTTGCCTTCGTAGGGAAACCTATCCTGTTGGTAGTGCTCGGCCCGTAATGGACATTCAGAAGTAATAATAGTAACGAAGTTCTATCTGTTACTTCTTACGCTTATTTTGCGCAAGGCAGCGCCCTACCTGCTCTGTCCTTAGTCTCTGCAGCAACCCTGCAGGCTAGTACTATGAGTATTCTTTTTCAAAGTGAGACAGGCTACCAGCTGCTGAGGGGTTGGTCCATGGGTAGTCTTCCAAGTCTTCCTTCTTAAGCCCAGTGCTGTTGGTAGATAGGAAGTGATGAATGAACTGCTTTATATTTATATCCTGCTATAGTATGTCACCACAACAATGACAGGCTCTAAGACAGAGACCTTTTGTGTAACAGAAGCCATTTTACTGTAGCCTTTGTGGCCAGAGCTGGTTCTACAGTCTCTGGGAGGGGCTTGGTGCCCTTCAGAGTCTCACTGTTGAGCTGGTTCCCAGGACTTCGGTGTGGATAGCTCTGCCCAGCACCCAAGCCCATGGCTTGCCTACTCTGGACCCCTTTGCCTGCTTCCTTGGCGTCCTGGTGCCGGGCTGCTTCTCGCTCTGAATAGTTCTGTCTGCACAGACTCTGCTTCTGTAAGGATGTGAACTCTGCTCAGTGGCTGTCATTCGGAAAGAGCAGGACTTGGTTGCTGCTGATGCGATGCTGCCAGGCTATTTATAGAGTTACGCACCCACCTTCTCCGATCACTTGTGTGTTTGAATAGGCTGTGGGGGCTGTTGAGCTCCGCGGCTCTGGCAGCATTCATGACACAAGCCAGCGGAACGGCAGTGCTGCCACCGCCAGCTCCCTGCTGTGCCCTTTGCTGAGCCGTGCCTCGTCCCTAAGCTGTGGGTGCACCTGGAGTGGGCCTGTTTGGGCGCTCCGCTGCCGCTCAGCACAGGCTGGCGTGGTGTGGGGCGCGTGGTCAGGGGTCCCGGGTACTCGGCAGGGGGCTGCGGAGCGTGAGGAACTTCCCCCATGTGTGCAAAACACGAGAACTGTGTGTTCAGTTCTAAGGGGAGTCTGCGCGCATGTTAGGCTTTTGAAGAGCTGGGAAAGAAAAAAGAATACAAAGGAGAAAATGATGGAGATAGTTCAGTCTCACATAGCAGTGTCACAGAGGACAGGAAGGACTGTCCCTGGACGGCTGAGAGAGCCCCTCTTCCGGACACTGAACGAAACGAGACCCAGGGGTACCTCCCTCCGTCTCCGTGGTGCCATCTTTAAGGAGTCCCTGCGTGTACAGGGGCCACACCAGAACCCGGAGCTGGCAGAGTTCCTGCCTGGCTCGCGGCGTTCATAGAGCAGACGTGTCCCTTCAAGGGCTGTGAGCTCTTCAGACGTCATGCAGGATTTGGGACTCTTGCTTCCTTCTAAATTTACTCCCGGGCCGTCTCCCGAGCTCCGAGGCAGATGGCCCGGTGTGTGTCCGGCCAGACCTGTGTGACAAAACCGGCTCTTATTTTTAGCGTGTATGCAGGAGTAGGGTGGGAAGAGCCGCGCATCCTCGGGGCTCCACCCCGCTATCTGGGCGAGCGAGGCGTGCGGCCCAAGGATGCGTGGCTGGCTGCGTGCGTCCTGTCTTGCTGCTTTTCAGCAGTGCTCGCCCGTAGGCCTCAGCGTTTTGATGCTGGGCAGCTCCCGGAGGCTGAGGAACCCCGGAGGCAGCGCGTGTCCTGCTAGTTAGGGTGTGACAGCCGTTACGTGACCCGCTTTGCTGTATATGGAACGTCATTCTGACGCGGGCTCCTGAGGCTGGTGTTGAAACGTCTGTTGCAGGTGGAGGAGCGGCTGAGCTCCGAGAGACTCAGGCGCGCCCCAGCTTGTGGAGGCCTGGGTCACGTCCGCGCAGTGTGGCTGCAGCGCCCCGGGGAGCGGGGAGGCCGCTGCTGGTGCTGTGCCTCTGGCCAGGTGGGCCTGGAAGGCAGCCGGCTCGGGCAGGAGTGCGCTGCGGCTGGCGTGGGTCACAGGTCACACGTCCTGCGTGTCCCCTGCGCACAGGTGCTGGTTGCCCGCAGGGAGAGCTGGGGACAGCCTGGGTCTTCAGACTCTAGTTCCCTGGCCGTGGGGGCCATTGTGGCGCTGTGTGTCCCCAGATGGCCCTCGCCCAGCAGAGGCTGCATCCTGCGTCCGTGCCCGGCTTAGTGAGGGCCGCGCGCGCTTGGCTCTGAGGTCCGTGTGCGTGGAGCCGGCCATGTGGGCTCGGCAGGCCGGGGGACGGGGCAGTCGGGCTCCAGGACTCTGCCTATCCTGTTTGCGCTGCAGAAGCGCCGGCTCCCTCGAGATCCTCTCCCTGGGTCCGGCAGGGCCAGGAAGGGAACCTGCAGCCTGGAGAGATGGTCCCTTGGGCACCAACACACGCACCACGGTGCTCCCCGCGCGCCCCTCCCGGCCTCACACGCGTGTGCGTTCAGCCTAGACAGGGTCAGACAGTGAGCAGTGTTTCTGACGTTGTTCTCACTGTAGGATGTCGTTGCCTCTTCCCGTTTTCTATCATGTTCGTGGAAGCGTAGCGTTATTCTGAGCAGGACTGTCAGTCCCTTCCCGCTGGGGACACTGGCCGCAGGGTGGGCCCTTAGGGTTTGCGGGGCACCCTGGCCCCTCACCTGCCCTCACGGGGACTCTGTCCGCAGCATCGCCGGGAGCCTGGTGTACTCCTACATCACCTTCGCCGAGGAGCAGCTCAGCAAGCAGGCGGAGGCCAGTGGCAAGCTGGACATCAAGGGGAAAGGAGCCGTGTGACCGTGGCCGCCGCTGCCCCGGCCGGGTGCTTCCGCGCCGTGAGAGCCGCCCTTCCTTTGCACGTGTACAATCCTGGATCGATCGCTGCCTTTGGAAATTTTATGAGAGAAGCTTAGAATCGACTCTATTTTAAATATGTCATGGGAATTAATTTATATCAGACTGGAAAATGTTCTGGGCTTTTTAATTTATTTTTCTTCTATCCTGACAGTGAGACCAATGGGTTTTTTTTGTTGTTTTTTTGGTACCGGGACTCGAACTCAGGACCTTGTGCTTGCCAGGAAGGCTCTTGTGCCACCGAGCTACATCCTTGGCCCTGGCCCCCGGGCTTTGAAACTTATTTATTCCACGGTTTGCTGTCCGGTGTCCTGAGAGCCACATTCATCCAGGGCCTCGCTGGTCATGCTGTCCCTGGAGCGGGCTCCTCTCCCCTGCAGAGCTGCAGCTGGGGCTGCCAGGCCTCCTCCTTGATGGCGTCACAGTGTCGTCACGGCCCTTGCCCCGACAGCAGCACTGGTTCCGGAAACCACATGGGGTTTGGAGTGTGCTGCAGTCCCTGGGGCTCCGCACGAGCTCAGCGTGACCCTGAGAACACACTGTCCCCCTGGTCGCCTGGGCTGGGTGAGTCGGGTGGAGGCCGAGCTTCCCGTGGGGCAGAAGAGCAGGTGGCCGCTGTCGTCCCCGGCCCTGCCTGCCCTGGCCTGGGTCGTGGCCACTGTCAGTCTTCTGGAGCAACTCGACGGCCACGTGCAGGCGGCGGCTGAGCGGGCAGTTCCTGTGTCACGGAGCTTTGCTCTTCCTGTGGGTCCGTGTCCTTGTCCTCTGGACGTGCGGCTGTGTCCTGGCCTTGCTCCCTGGCTGAGCTCCCAGCCTCTGTCCCACCGCACTGCACCGGGAGCAGCCAGGAAGGTGCCATCGATCCCCTCGGAGGTAGCTGGACTGGGCGCCGCTGGATTTTGACTTCTGAAACGTCACGTGGAGCGCAGCCCCTGAGCTCATGGCCTTCCGCGAGGCATCGCCGGCCTGCGGGAAGTGCAGTGGGAACGGAGCTGGCACCTTAGGGTCCTGCTCGTCTGTTTTACCAGTGACAAAAGACACAGAGGCCCGAGCCCACCCCTGCCTGGGGACAGAGCAGCCCTTGTGAGCGCGTGGGCCTCTCCCGGGCGGGCAGCCGGAGCAGCAGAGTCCGCTGTCGGCAGGGCGGCAGGTCCCCCTGTCCGCAGGCCCGGGACCCAGGGCCGGCCAGCTCCGTTGATCTGCAGTTCTGCCGGCTGGACTTGGTGGGGCGCGAAGTGAGAGGCGACCCGTGCTCTGTCCCTTCTGGAGCCCGCGGAGGAGCGCACGGGGCCAGATTGGCCTGGGGAAGGCTGTTGGGCCGGGCTCTGCGGGGCTCGGGGGCAGCTCCGCTCCGGCCTCCTGCTGGCTCCGGAGCTCCCTGTGCAGTCGGGGCTCCTGCCAGCCAGCATCTTCTGGCCTCACCCAGCTGCAGTGACCGCGCGGCGGGCTGGGTGGGCACGGAGAGGCCCCTTGCTTCTGGGGCGCCTCCCAGGCCCGGCCCTCGCGGGTACGTTTTGCTGTGGTCACCTGGCAGCGCCCTCGATGGCCGAGCGCCCTGGGGCGGTGGAGGCAGTGGGACTCCGTCCTGTGGGGCCTCTGGGGCGGGCGAGTGGGCGGCAGGGAGCTTCGGGGAAGCCAAGTGTGCGTGAGCTGCTCCCTGCGTGGTGGAGGTGGGGTCCTCTGCAGCCGTCCGCAGGCGTCCAGGCAGACTGGGGTGGCCACGGGTCCTGGCGCTTGGCCCGGGCCGCTGGTTCCGCAGTGGCTGAGCCTGCAGCTGCTGGGTGCCCTGCGCGCCCCGGGCTGCGGACAGCTGGTTCTCCTCTGTGGAGGACACCCACTTGCCCAGGCAGTTCGTGTCTGGCCTCTCAGGTGACTGTGTGGTACCTTCGCCGGGAGCAGAGTGAGAGCCAGAGCTGCTGAGCGATGCCGGGCCCGCAAGGGGGAGGTGCTAGATGCTAAAACCCTACCCCCGGGGCTCGGACAGCGCTTTTGTTTGCACACCATCTTCCCTCAGGTGCCTATGGACAGTGCTGTGGCCGCTGTGGGATGCGGGTGATTCTTCCTGTTTTTTTAAAAGAACAACTTTGGTGTTACGTTAAAAAAGGGAAAACATTTTTTATCTCAGAAGACCTGCATTTCATAGTGGTGATTCAATTAAAACCTCAGCTCCCCGCTCCACCAAACGCAGCCCTGTGGAGGTGAGATCCTCTTCCAGTCTAAAGTTCATGCTGGACACACCTGGCCTCCTGTCCCACTGCAGCTGCCAGTGCGCCACCACTCTCCTCCAGACCTGTGTGCCAGCTCCTACTCCGAGGGTGCAGGTCCTTGTGTGGAAAGACATGCCCCGGAGTTCTCGGTTTTCTAAGGCTTTGTTTAGTTTGAAGATCCTTTTTAAAAAAGAAATCTACTGGTTAGATTTACGGTCTCACAAAAATGTTTTTAGAGATTGTTTTGTTCCTGAACATTTTCTTTCTCATGCTGATGACCAACTTGATTTTTGTCTACAAATGTTAGCCTCTCACGATATTTTTTCAATATAGATTTATTCTATTTACCAAGTTATTATTTTTTAAAGGTACTGAGGGTTGAGTCATGTAAATCAGGTGATATAACATGAAAATTATGTGCCTAAATATTTTTGTTAATGGTGTCAAATAAATACTTTTTCCTGGAAACGTGTGGGAGTCCCTTTCACAGTGCGCAGAGACTAACCCACACCCAAGGCCTGCTCACATTTAGGAGGGCGGTGACCTGGGGACAGGGAAAGGCTCATAGCACAGCACGTGTGGCTCAGCCTCCCCAGCCTGCAGAGGTGCAGAAAAGCAGCTCCCTCTAGGCCCAGCCCAGTCAGGCCAGAGGGAGGAGCTCGAAACCCACTGGAGAAATGCCTTTAACGTGCACAAACGCACCGTGCTAACTGCTGTGCAGTGTGGCAGGGCTAAGTGTATTCACGTGGTTGTGCAGCCACGCTCCAGAACACTTTCACGCTGCTGAAACGGGACGACGCATTGAACAAAACCCACCCGTCTGCCTTTGCCGGCCCGGGGCCTCGGTGTGGTGGGTCCCTCGCACACGTGGTCAGACAGCGTCCACCACTTATGAGCTGGTGTGTTGTACTTTTCATCATGTCCTTAAGCTCCACCCGTGTTGTGGCGTGGGTCAGAATTTCTGTATTTATGTATTTGGGTTTTTGAGAGGGTCTCCCGATGTAATTCAATCTGGTCTTGAACTCACTGTGGAGTCCAGGCGGGCCCGGAACTCCTAGTAATCCTTCTGCCTCAGCCTCCTGAGTGCTGGGATTACAAGTCTGGGTCACCACACCCCGCAGTTTTTTAAGGCTGAACAATACATGCTTTCTGGCCATTTATCCTCTTGTGAAGGAGTATCTACTCAAATCCTTCTAATTTTTTACTTAAGTATTGAAAAAAATTGTGGAGTAGGAGGAGGTTCTGTGTATACACACACACACACACACACACACACACACACACACACACACGATTTTAACCCTTTGTCAGGTACATTATCTGCATTTTTTTCCTATTTCGCAAACTGTCTTTTTTGATTGTGGATTCTCTGATGTGCTGACATTTTATTTTATTATTTATTTACTTTGTCTTTTTGAGACAGGATGTCGCTATGCAGTTCAGGCAGGTATTGAGCTCACTTTGTAGCCCAGGCTGGTCTCGAACTCGCAAAGGTCCTCCTGCCTCAGCCTCTCCAGTGCTGGGATCGCAGGTGCGCCCCCACGTCCGGCTTGTGCTGACGTTTTAAATTTTGCTGTGGCACAATTATCTTTAACTTTTGGTGCCTTTGCTTCTTGGTGGCATTTTCAAGAATTGCCAAATCCATTATCATCCAGATTTTTTCTTTTAAAAAGATTTTATGCATTTATTTTCTGTGACAATGGAGATCAGACCCAGGGCTTTTGTACTGAGCGCTAGGGTCCCACCGGGCAGTGCGTGCTGCAGCGCGGGCTCTTTGTGTGCCTGTCCTCGCTCCCTCGCTGCGACACATCCACCCATCCTTCCGTCCATCCCTCCAGGCCCAGGCGGGCCTCAGCACGGGTGGCGCGGGTGTGGGGCGTTGGTGGAAGCCGCAGTCGGACTGCAGCGCCCCCGCGCGGCACGCTTGCTCCCGGCTCCTTCCGAGCCCGAGCTGTCAGCCTCGGCGGGGGCCGGGCGGTGCCTCTGGCGGGAAAGCCGTTTGCTCCTGCCGGGCCGCGCCGGAACGGAGGGCGCCGCTCCCTCCTTTGGCCCCTGGTGTGCCGCACAAACGGCTCAGGCGAGGTCTGATTTCACTGACCGATCGTGAAGTCGGACTTGGACTTCCCAGCCCCTTTCTTTCCAAAGGACGCGGCCTCGGCAGAGGGTTTCGCCGGCGCTGGCCGACCCCGTGCTCCCCGAGCCTCCCGGCCAGGGCTCCGGGACGGGCAGCGCGCGGTCGCTGAGCGCCGGGGCTCCCTCCTGTCCCGGGAAGGCTGCTTTGCCGCCAGGCCTCCGGGCGCAGCTGGAGCCCAGGGCCCGCCGGAGCAGCCGGGACGGCCGCGGGCCTGCCCCGAGGTCACAGGGTCCAGGGGACTTGCCCGGTGCGGCACAGCAGGGACTCGGTGCTCGTCTCCCTCATCACCAAGCTCCTCCGGACCTCGCTCCGCGGGTCCGAAGACCTGCGGCACCGAGACTGGCCCGCAGGGTCACCCCGTCCGCGCTCACGGCCCGCACGCGGGACGCGCACACCCCTTCTCTTCTGAGCCTCCGCACGGGCTTTCCAGTTGGAGGGAGTTCTCAGCTCGGACTTGGACAAAAGGTAGAATATTCTGATTGCAAGCAGCATCGGCTTCCAGCCTACAGCACACATCTTCCCTGAACACAGAGACCTGAGTTGGGAAAACAGGTGAACGAATTCCAGACCCCGCCGGGCTGGGGATGCAGCACTGGGGGACTGAGGCTGGGAGGCTGACGCAGGACGATCAAAGCCAGCGCCAACTTGGGCACCTTAGTAATTTGGCAAGACCCTGATCCAAAACAAGGAGGCTGCGGATGCAGCTCCGTGTGAAGTCCACGTTCGATCGCCAGTACCACTCCGACTCCACACACACCCACACCCACGCGCGGCTGCGGAGCCGAGGGCCCGGGTCCGGTCCCAGCCGCGCTCCCCTGCGGCAGGAGGGCCGTCCCCGGGCGCGCACCCCTCTCTTTAAAATGCTGCAGGCATGGGACCCACCGCCCACTTTTCTGGGGCAAAGGGCAAAGCGCGGACTCCAGAACCCCGGGGGGCACCCCGCTGCGCTTCGACCTCAGGCGAGCCGCCCGCCCTCGGCCCGCACTGCGCCTGCGCGCCCCGCCCGCCCTCGGCCCGCACTGCGCCTGCGCCCCCCGCCCGCCTTCCCAGTCACTGAGCTCACCGGGGGCGGCGGCCTGCTAGAATTTACGGGTACCCTCGCGTTCCGGGCAGCGCCCCCGCCTCCGCGCGTGGCCTGGGACGCCCACGGCCGGGGACCCCGCCCCCGCGGGGGAGGAGCAGCACGCGAGTGCCTCGCCGCGGACGCGCCGGCGCGGGGCGCTCCTCCGAGCCTGGCACGGCGAGCGCTTGGCGAGGGACCGACGCGTTTCACGGCCCCACTCCCGCCTTGAGAAGGAGACACGCGAGGACGCCGGTCCCGAGGCGAGGCCGGGCCAGGACCAACGCGCCCCCGCCCCGCCTTCCGCCGCGCTCCCGGGAGGCCGCGGGGGGCCCCTCGCGCCTGCGCACACCCCCCGAGGGGAGGGGCCGGCCCGCAGTCATTCACAGCACACTGCGCACAAGCGTGTTTACAAAAATACTTTAATAAGCGTATTCAGAGTGGCAGAAGGGAATGGGAGAAGGAAAATATTTTACAGTGCAAAATTACTATGCATAAATTTAAAAACATCTAATTCATCCTTTTAAATGCCTACTTAAATATTACTTCAAATACATTTTAAAGCTCAACAGATTTGTGTTGAACTGAGTTGCAGGTGAGGAAACCTACTTGCAAACACATCGGAACACAGAAACCCCATTCCAGATGCAAGCGAGAGTGCTCCCTGGGCGAGGTGAGGCGGCGAAGTGACTCCAGGCAAGGCTGGTTTTCCCAGTGCAGTTTGTCGAGAGTTCAAGACTTCCGCAAGGTACTAAGTCTTAAGCAAATTAAACTCATGATACTAAGATTCTTAAATAGTGCAATGACATATCAAGTTATAGTGGCTGCATTATGAAGAACAAAGTGAAATACCTGTATAAACACAAAGTACAATTAAATATTTACGGAAAACTGCGCATTACATATTATAATAGTGGAATGTCTTTCATTATGTGTACTTTCAAAAGATAAGATTAAGAAAAGTAAAATCTCCTAACATTTATACATATGCCATTATTTGCAGACATGCCTGAGGATTTACTTAAAACATTTCTGTATCAATGGTTTGCAAGAACTTCACAAACCAGCAAACAAAATGCATCTTTTAAAAAGGTGAAAATGTTGTTTCTCATATTGCAACAATTTAACAAGTACAGCATCACTGTTCTTTTAAAACACTTCTATAGAGCATCTCTGACAAGGAGCTAGGATGCTTTGGATTCATTCATGAAATCTAACTTAGGAAATGGACTGTGACCATCTGCTAAAGCTTCTGCCTTTCTGGATAAATTAATGTTTTAAGTAAAACAACAACAAACCCCTGCTTCTCCGCACTTCACCCCAAACCATGATTCCTCGGACACTTAGGTAACAGAAGTGAGCACACGTCAGGAGTCAAGGGCTGGGAAGAGCTTCCGAGCCCCTGCGGGCCGGGCCTGAGCATCACTTCTCCGTGCGAACCTGCGGAAACCCAGCTGCTGCGCACAGAGCTGCTCCAACAGGACCACACACTGGTCTGAAAAGGCGCTGGCTCTGGAACTGACGGGAACCATGGGCTGGGAGAAGCATCTCTGGGCGTGTGTGAGAAAACAACCACCTTTCACAAAGGTGTGGGTAGAGGCTGGGCTAGCAGCTGTGTACAGCTATGTTTTTAAACAAGAATTCTGCACTAAAAATAAAATGCCATTTTTACATGACGATGAATAATTCTCCTTGTAATCACACACAGCAGTGGTCACTGTTTATCTTATTTTCATTTTGGAAAAACATCATCAACCTGAACACCTGGGCTGTCACTGGCAAAGTCCGCAAACTTCAAACTGTCACTCCTCCTCCTCCGAGAACTCATACACTGGGCACCAAGAGCGACCCCCTGCCATGTGCCAACAGCTAAGAACCACTGGGCCTTTGCCTCTGTTGTCTGATGCAAAAATGGGAACTTTTATGACGCATATAAAAATGACTGAACAGGATTCTAGTCAGCATGACACACGTAAGCACTTAAGCTGACATTAAACCTGTTTTGCTTGAAAAATAATTTAGAGAAAATGATAATAAATGCAAAACAAAGTACGATCTAAGAATCATGCTTAGTTTCGGAATTCTCAAACTATTTGTCCTTAGGTAAAAATTTGAAAAAATTTTTCACAGTCCTTTATGAATGCTTTTACCACCTGGATAAGAAACATGACTTAGTTAACTACACAAACACTTAAAAATTCATTAGAAAAACCTTAGCAAAATAAAATGAAAGCTGACGGACTCAGAATATCAATTCCTCTCATAAAAGTTTACCAACTGTACAAGTTAAGAAAATTATACAAGCTTTTTGTATTAAGAAAGGACAGCTCAGTCAAGACATATGTACTTGTAAAAATCTTTCAAAGGCTACAAAGAATCTGGAAAAATACAGAATGTATTTCTTAAGCCCAGATAAGAATATGGAAAGACATCATTGATGTCAACAATTTTACATATACAAACCTGACTTGGTTTATTTTTAAACTTCTATATATAAAAAAATCATGCTAGCATAACTTTCAGGATTCACAAGGGTTCCCTTAATAATGACACTCAATTTAGAAGGAGTGAAAAATGCCTATTAGAAAGACATTTCAGGAAACTCAGAAAAACTGGGGTAAAACAGATCTGAATTCTTTTTTCATTCCTCTGTATCAAACCAAGAAGAAATTACCTTATAGTGAAATTTTATGACAATATATCTGGATGAAAAGGTATGGATTTATCTTTAGTTTGTTCCAATTTACTAAACTTTTTTATATCCTTAAAAAGACTTTTGCCAGTTTTGAAGTAAAAGAACCCATAAAGACAGAATTATGAAATCTTCTTAGAATTACCAATTCATCTTTTTATATTTAAACCAACGGCTTCAAGGAAATCAACTTGTTAAGGTCACCCATCAACCCTGAAAATTTTAGTCACACCAGAATTCCTCCAAGAAAGTAAAATTGGTCTCAAGTTCAGTCACCTGTGTTTTCCAGCCCCTCAGGTTTCCCATGGGACACCGCCTCTTGGAGGAGCTCAGAGGGGCCTGGGCTCCCCCTCCCGCTGCTGTTCACCCTTCGCTTTTTGGCAGGTCTCTCGCTTTTGTCATCAAAATCACTTTCGCTTCTTGCAGTCACGTGAGCAAGTTTTGGGTCCGTGGTCAGGTTATCTGCCTCATAGCCGTTGGTGTCCGTCTCTGTGTGAAGCGGTCTCTTGTGTCCTCCTGTCGGCCCGTTAACGTGCAGCCCTTCACCTTTTCCCTCTTCTTTGCTTACTATCTCACCTGGTCCGTTAGATGACACCCCTGAGTTGGAAGAAAAATGATACTGCTAATATGAAGAAGTTACACTTGCAAACTATTATGCAACAGCTATTGCAAATGGCTCTTCTTCACGGGAGCAAGGCATGGATGTGACCACACAGCTGGGTTCACGCCGTCTCCATTCCCACAGCTCTGGCTGTGTCCCCCAGCTGCAGCATGCACACTGAGGATTCAAGCAGGTTTCCGCACACGTCACTCTGAGGGGGAAGGGTGTCACAGAGTGAAGAACAGATGAGGCCAGGTTAGAAGCAATGCGCTACCGGGTGGGAGCAAGCAGGCTCCGGACCCAGCAGCCTCAATAAGCTTAACTGCCGAGAGAGGCTAGCCAAGCGCTACTCCTCCTGGAACCAGGTAAAAACACAATCAGTGTTCTTTACTACACTGCCTTAAATTTCCTACTGCCACTAAAACCTTGGGTGCCATGATTTTATTCTTAATGTAAATCTGTGGATTTGAGCTTTAAAAAAATAGTTATTTAAGTGTACTTAATCGGTCAATAACGGCAAGAAATGAATGCCGCAGTGCCCAAACATGCACTGAACATGCGAACGGCAAATTCAAATTTCCCATCATCAGTAAGAAAAATAAATCCCTATGACCCAGTAGAAGCAAGAACAATAAACACAGCATGGTAAAGCTGACGGCAAGGGCGACACAGGGTGCACAGCCCTGGAGGAATTCAATTTTCATCACCCGGAAATGCGGTGAAGCCACGCGTGCCACCAAGTGCAAACACTAGGTCAGACCGGTAGTTAAAAACAGTGCCACTGCTCCAAGGCCCCGATTAAAGTCCTTGAGAAGAGAACGACCGCCCTGCTCGCACACCTGGCTCAGTGGCGCCGTGGCGCCACGGCGGATGTGTCAGTGTGTCACTGTAATCGTCAGTGTGTATCTCCTGATGCAAAACGGCCACAGTTTTGGTCTAAAAGCTGCAGCCAGGCCTCATCCCAACCGGAGAGAAAAGCTTTCCTCTGAAAGAGCTCTTAGAGAGGCGGCCGCCTGAAAGCTGCCTGCACCCTGTCTGTGTGTGTGTCTATCCGTCTGCGCTCACCGTTGTGTGCTCCCGCTGCACAGTCCTCCTTCTCAGACTGCCCGTTGCTGCTGCTGGAGGCCGTCGGGGGAGGGGACGGGGCGCGACTGGAGGCTGCGCTCTCGCTCTCGTCTAGGAGACGGTCCATGTAGTCCCTTAAATAAAAAGGAATGTTGTTATTTCCCCTCTACGGAAAAAGCTAGAAACCCGAATCCTTGAGGTTAAATTTCCAAGTCTTCCCTAACAAACACTGTACACCCTAAAATTCACTTCCTCCTCCCCAGGGCCTCATCTACTGGGTCAGGTCTACACTCAAGCCCACTTCATTCTGGTCTCGAGTTTGTAGGGAAAATGTAGTCTTTAACTGGCAAATTTTAAAGACCCACGGGAAAGGTAAAAAACTTCCCTTTGGGAGAAGCCCAACTAAATCTGGAGGATCTGTAAGTAAAGAGGAATCATACTGTCAGGAGTAGAAAATAATTTCTGAACAGAGGCAGGCTGGATTTTAAGGCTCCTACAGCAATACCTGAAAGACAAATAGGGGTCTGCTAAGAGGCCTGTTACCCCCAAAACTGTCCTGAACACCTGTGTGCCAGTGAGCTTATCTGCTTGGTTTTCTTTTTAAAGACAGGGTCTCATTATGTAGTTTGGGCTGATTTTAAACTCACTATGTAGCCCAGGTTACCCTCGAACTCACAGTGATCCTCCTGCCTCAGCCACCCGAGTGCTGAGATGACAGGCGTGCGCCACCACGTCTGGCCTGCAGTTGCAATTTTAATCTGTGACCACCACTGTCACTTGGGTTATGAGGACGTAATAAATACAGGAGTATGATATCAACCTCAAGAAGCTCAAACGCACTGAGGTATAAAGCTAACACACTTAGGACAGAAAAAAAACTGTGAGTGAGGCAGCTTAACAACTGGGGTGTTACTCCTGCCCCACTAAGGACGGGGTTACGCGCGGTGGCCTTCACAAGCGCTTTGGTGCTGCACAGTTGATCGTAACCACAGAACCAGTGCGAGGCGCACAGAAACGGCGATGCGGGCAGTGGACGCCAAGGGGCGGCAGGGTTAGGGCCGAGGAGGGCGGGCTGGGCACCGCTGGGAACACAGCTCACAGCGGACGGGGCTCGGAGGGCGTTCAAGCCTCACGGAGGAGGTTGGGACTGGTCAGTACCAGAATGATCTTACGTTTTGGCATGTGGCAGCAATACCATGAGAGCACAAGTGCCACCATCTTCTAAAGATTCACGAAATCCAGACTGCTCAGCAAAGGAGAACGGGCAGGCGGGCAGGCCATCTACCAGGTCCCAGTATACTCAAGCAACTGGTTATGAATTAATTTTCACTTCAAGAAAATTATTTGGAAGGCTGAATATTTCACAGTGAAACCTTCAATGTGCACATGCCCTCAATTCTTCTAGGCAGTACACAGGGAAAATCTGTAGTAGGATCTTGCAAAGGCTGTTTGTAGACCACAAACAAGTAGGAAAAAAAAAAGCTTCATTCTGGTAATAACTGGAAGACAACCATTTAAAATACAACTATACGCCAAAAATGGAAACAAGCCAGACCAGCCTGTCTGTACTGACAGGAAACCACAATTTCTTGGCATATGAAACATAACGCAGTGTGCTCACTGCTTTTCACACACTGCCCAACACAGAAGAAAGGACGATCTCAGTTACGCAAGAGGCTTTCTGTAAGACCCACAGGGGCTCAACTGAAGTGTACAGAATCCAGGCCATCTGTGCCACGGGAAAAACCAGGTTTGTTCGCTTCATACCACTGCGCAGCCCGAAGAAAGAGGCCTGGGCTACTCTGAACGTGGCTCCTCGGCTGCGGGAGCGCTGACCTCACAAGGAATCAGGCTTGCAGACGAGTGCCACAGAGAGACCACTGAGAACCAGAAGGTCTGGGGGCACAGCCCTCCTAAACACGGAGGCACTAAGCCCAGCCCACACTTCCCTTGGCGAGGCCCTCTCAGAGAGCAGCCGGTGAGCCTGCGTCTTCCCCTAGCTCAGCAATCTAACGTTTTTATGGCCGGGGATGACAGACTGCACTTCGCGCATGAACATTACTTCTGAAATGGGTAGAAAGAACCAGAGCTTTTCCACACAGAATAGTTTGAAAACTGTGACTCTTTTTAAGATATCCTGTGTGGATTGGATAGCTGTATCTGACTCTGTATCATTGTTTTAAAATTACCAGTGAATAATCCACAAAAACCCCGTAACTTTCATAACACTAAGCAACTGTATGAACCGTGCATGCTGTTGGGGAATGTGTAGCATTCTATTGCACGTGGAGGAAGTCTGAACGCTACGATTTCTTTGCTCAGCGAACACCATTTGGAAAAAAGAAATACAACCTTCATCCTGGTGCAACGTGAGTTCTACTCCAGTGATCACAGCTCTGAGTGAGAGGGACAAGGCGCACAGCCCACTGGCTCATCCTTGCAAGGGTCCATTCTACTCAGCGCCTCCCCAGCTCTTCTGCTCTGGGCTGGAGAACGTCTGATTTCCAAGGGAGTGAGCAGTAAGACATCTAGCTCTAAATGAAAGTGACCGGGCAGCAGCACAGCCTGAAGTCTGAGAAGCACAAGCACACAGCTGTAAAGCCGCTGCGTGGCCAGCCCGAGGACATCGGTACTGGGCGCACTGACGAAATGAAGACAAAGCTTTGTGTCATTTTTATTCTGTAAACATCAGGGCGTGTTCGAGGACAGTACTGTAAAGTCACTTCTAGCATAACAGAAGTAATTCACGAAGAGTCCAAGATCCAGTGCTCTTTACGTTTAAGTAACCGCTGACCAGGGGTGAGAGGATGCTTTATTCCACAGCGAAGTGAAAGAGGACAGGAGAACTTGAAGCAAGGGGATGCTGTGCGGTACCTAAGACACCTGCAGCGTGGATACCACGCCTCGTAGCTGTGCTGCTGCGAGAAGCGGGAGGTGCGGCCCTCGTCACTCCGTACTGTTTCTGTTGGTGGCAAACTCAGCACCGCTAGGGAAAGGGGGGCTACCCAATGCACGCTGCTCCCTCTACAAAATCTGAACGAAAAGGCGTCTGACCTGATTTACTGTGTTTCTCTGCTTTTTTCCTTTTTAGAACAACTGTATTCAAATGTTATTTTAGTTCCTGGGATCAAACTAAATTGGATGAGAAAAAAATACTAATTTTCCTCCAACGCTGCAGGGCCTACTGGTCACATGGCCATACAGTTTTCTTCAGAAGAGTCCCTCTTCTTCCCGACTCCAAGGACTCTCAAGTTACTGAACTACATGTGCCGTGCTGAACAGAACAGCTGCTCTGATCCACTTCTTCTAGGGGTGCCTACTGGAAACACACTTTAAATCTTGCTTTAATGTGTTCATTGTCTAATAATATCAACTATAGTTTATAACCTATGACACAAGACTCTGAATGTCTATGAAAAGATGCAATAATGATAAACTGATATAAATGCTATTACAAAAGATTAAAAAAATCATAGTTCTATTAAGAAAAGTTAGAAAAGCTTTTTATCAATAAAATACATAGCTCTAAAGGAAAAAAAAAATCAACTCACGTTACACCAGGGTGAAGGTTGTATTTCTTTTTTCCAAATCGTGTTTGCTGAGCAAAGAAATCATAGCGTTCCGACTTCTTCCACATGTAATAGAATGCTACACATTCCCCAACTGACCTTGTTCGGACCTATAAAAAAGAAATGCTGTTTTTACCAATCATTTCTTCCTTACTGGAGGGCTTTCACGAAAAACATGTGAAGTGTGAAAATAAACACGCTCCTCCTTAACTGACACGTGCCTCAGCAGGTGGAACACACTGCTGCAGTCAGTGCTGGCAGCTCTCTTTCTAGCCTGTCAGGGAGCAGCGCACTGGTGACGGTCTGCAGACGCCTCACTCTGTTTCTCTGTACTTTACTGTAAAATAAATGCTCTCTAGGAAAGTGTGTGTGAGTGGCCTGTGGGCAGGCGAACACTATCAACGGTTTATGTTCGCTCTCACACAGCACCCAGGACACCACCTTTGAATTCTCTCCCAGCACGTTCTCTGAGTAGTTCCAACAGCAGTCACACTCGCCTGAGAACGCGCCACAGGAGTGTGAAACCGAGCCACTCGCGATGCCGCCCAGGCTTTGGTTCCCAAATCACGCCGGGGCTTGGCGTGCAACTCCTATCTGTGCAAGTGAACGGATCCCTCAGACAATGTCCATGGCCATGGGTTTACAAATGATGAAAGACCCCCTTGGCCACTGGGTCTGGAAAGCTGCAAGAACTGATGTGCACGAATAAAATATTGGGAGTTCAAAGGAGAAAAAGGTACCATCATGAGTATTTTGGATGCTAGGTAATAGTACTGTAACAAATTTCAGACACTGAGGCAGAAGACTGTGGGCGACACCTGTCCTGCCCCACGTACATGCACACACGGCTGTTTCTCTGCTACTTGCACTTCACAACTATGACCCACTTTGCTCTGAGACTGAAAATAACTAGGGCTTTAAAAAAAATTCTCTCAAGCTTTTTGACTTCCTATAGAATCTCATTTCTATACAGATCTCAACTAAATCAACTGTACTGAAATCAAAGACATTCTGGTACATGCGAAGTGAGCACTACAGGAAATCTTCAGTAAGACAAGCTCTCATATAGAATTTAGGGTTAAAATCTGAATTTAAATCCCAAGTGTAAAATGCCAATTCCCTGATGTTTTTACTCAAAGGACTATCTTTGGTTTACCACAGCAACTAGCGTGATAACATAAAGGCCAGATGCCACCCATCCTGGAACACTAAAGACCACTATCCAAGTATGTATTTATACAGCAAGCGAGTTGGTATTTTTAGTGAGACTTTTTCGCTCACAGTTCGAGGTCACCTAGTAAGTTCTTAGGGTTTAAAAAGAAGCAGGGTTGCTGTTTCCACTGATCAGATCAGCTGTCACCCAGGGGCACTCTCCACAGGAATCCTGCCTCGTTAGAGTCAGTGGCAAGGGACTTTAAGCAAGAATGCCAATGCCAGAAAAATCTTATAAAAATGATCCTTTCAACTGTGAAATGTGGGATTAAAATATCAGAAATATAAATAGCCATCCATTAGCATACAATAGTCTTTTCCTAGTGTTGAGGTTATTAAATGATGTGGACACAGTAGGGCTATAAATTTTGACAGCAATTATGCTGTCTTTTAAGTTACCCTAAATGCTAAGATGAAACATTTCTCTTTCATTAGTTATGTCCAGTATCAATTACCAAAATGCAAAAAGATAATTAAGAACAAATTGGTTAATGCACAAAAAAATTAAGACAAATGAACTCACAGTATTTGTGAAGTACTTTGTACTTAATAAGCGATAACTAACACGAAGTATGTACTGAACGGATAATGCCCAGCCACAGTCAGAAGTACAGAAAGGAGGGGCTGGGGATGCAGCTTAGGGTAGAGCTTTTTGCCTAGGAAGAGTAAGGCCCTGGGTTCCCTTAACAGCGCCACAAAACAAACAAACAAACAAACAAACAAACAAACAGGGAATCCGGTTACGTGAAAGGCTACTTAGGGCTTTAGACATAAGCCCGACACTGTCCACACAGCTCTGCACAAGCTGCCCCCCCCCACTTAGACGCTGTCTTTAAGGAAACAAGATGCTGAGCTCCTTGTGTTCCATAAAAATAATGGTACATCAAAAGCCCAGGATTTAATATACTATGTTTAAACTCTGAGACCTTAATTTTATCTGTCTTAATCTTGTAGAGAACAACTCATTTCTCTATCTACAAACTGAGTAGTTGCTATTAAAAATCCTACCCAAATTCAGTTCTAAGAATTAAACCCCAAAATAAATCTGTAAGTAATTAGGAAGTTCTCTGGGATAAGCACCGTATGATTGATAATATCAATATGGAAGCGCTATTGGTCATGTGAAACAGAATTCTAAATTTATGACAACTGCAGTAATTCATAACAAAGCCAACCTATTAATGCCTCTGGAAAGTTAATTTAAATCTTAACTATGTGCTTTTAAGCAAAGCAATGGCAGCTGCCTGTAATCCCAGCCAGCCGGTAGGATGACAAGATGACTCCAAGTTTGAGCCGAGCATGCGCAACGCAGGGGAGACCTCGTCTCAAAACAAAAGCTGCGGCAAGGTGCTTGGAGTGCAGCTCCGTGGTACAGAGCCTGCCTAGCATGCACGAGCATCTGGGTTCAAGCCCAGTACTTCAAAAACAAAGAACAACGTGGCTTGGACTTCTAATTATAAACTCTCTCATGTTAGAAGTGCTTTAAAATTTCAAAGATCTTCCTTAAAATACCTGTCACAGACAGAAAATAGCTTGTATTGCATTATACACACAAACTCCAACCAAAAGTTGGTTAACACACTTGTAAATGATGTCATTATTTTGTTTGTGCCAGTGGGGACTGAACTCAGGGCTTTTACGATGGATTACATCCCCAGTCCTTTTTAAATTTTTTGCTTTGAGAAAAGGTCTCACTAAGTCACAAAGCTGCCCAGGCTGGGCCAGCCCTTGCCATCGTCCTGTTTCAACCTCCCAGAGTGCTGGGGGGCCCGCACCACCATGCCCGGAGTTCAAACCTTGAAACCTTCTAATATCACAGTGAACACAGTGCCTAGCGAATTTATGTCAGGAAGTCTAGATACGCTTACTATAGTAAGTAGCTATGTCCCAAAGATTGTAATATTCATGATAGAAACTTTGACATTAGAAAACACAGCAGATGAAGATCTGAGTTGTTAAATTTTCCATAGAAAGAACATATATCATTACTTACTTTATTAGCCTGAATCAAATGAAAATCTTTTCCATAGGCCTTCAGCCCTTGTTCAAAATTTCTACACTCTTCCTCTGTCCAGACAGACAATTCCTCTGACAAAATGAAGGGGAGAAACTGTTAAGCAATATTCCCCTAACGCTGAACATAAAACTGCAAATAAAAATGTGACTTCCTGGTACAAAATGAGGGAAACATTTTACTTTGAAAACTAATACTCATCACTGCAGAAGATAAAGCAGCAGGAAATTCTCACTTCCCCGATTCCCGACCCCCTGCACGAGACCCTTTCAGCTCCTCCCGTTGCTAAGCTGCTCCTTACTGAAGATGCAGTGTGCTGTAGGGCACCCCTCTGCCCAGAATTACTCCCCTGCCTCCTCCGCATGCCTATCATCTTCTAGATCCCAGGGGAAATGTCTCTGTTCTGGAAGCTTCCCCAGAAACCCCACTTCTCTCCTCTAGCTGCAACAGCTCCCTCTCCTGGGAGGGAGGGAGGAAGGAAGAAGGCATCTGAGGCAGGGGCTTGGGTTATAGTTAGGCCCTCAGAACTGAGGTCTTCACGTTTTTGCTGAATTCATCAAAATCTCTCAAAGTGCACTCTAAACCAGGGATGGCAGCCAGCCTTAGAGTGAAAGGAAAACCCAGCATTTTAGCTCTGGCTTTATTATTTATGAATTACACCTGCCTCGGCCAGCTTACCAAGCACACAGGCCTAATTCTGAAACTGTAAAGTGCAGGTCACATCTGTAAGTTACGCAGCTCCTAGGGATGCTACCGAGATCGAACAGGAACATCTTCACAAACATACTTGGGAGTTTTAAGGTATTATGCATTTTTATCTTTTCACTTAAAACCGCCTCAGTTTCCCATAAAGGGACAGTCTTAATCCCATTCCCCACTACACTTTGCAGAATACTTATGTTCTACAAATACTAATTTGGAAACTAAGCTTAGGATATACGGTGTTTATATTAAACTTAAGAGCTACGTTTTTAAATATCTACAAAATCATGTACACATACAAAAGCTTAACATTTATGCTTACCTCTAGCTGCTTTTACATTAAACCGTAACCTTCTCAATGCTTCTTCTGTGTCAAAATTGCACTTAACCAATTCATATAAAGCCTAGAAAACCAGAAAACTTCCATGTATGAGCCAGATGGGCAGTCCCGCTTAACGCTACAATTCAAGTTTTTATTCACAATCTAGTATTTGTTTTCACTCTTTCTGGGGGAAGGGTGTAATTTTGGTGAATACAACATAAAGAAAATACCAAGGAAAAACATCAATTTAATTGTGGTATTTCATATTCTCCAAACTTGTACAAGGTAGGATATGTAAACATTCTAACTTGGTGGCCACAGTATCCGAAGAATCTAGACATAAAAATATGTATCATTTTATATAAATGGTTAATTCCTTCCTTGTGGCTTTCATAGATTCCTACCATAATCTTAAAACAAATCAGAAAAAAAAAAAAACAACGATAAGAAAGGCTTAAAAATGCTGGTATGTTACGCTTATGGCAGGCACTGGCCTTACTGTGTATGCAGTAACATTATCTCACAGCAGTCTCCAACCCGACGACAGCCACGGACCCTCACGGACACCGGGACAGCTGCTGCGATCACAGTGAAGAAGCAAGTGTGGGAACAAAGAGGACCTTCTGCAGTACGCACCATCAGGCGCCACTAACATTTTCATTTATAAATGCATGTGGTAGGTTTATCTGAGGAAAACGCTAGAGGCTCACTCACGCACCTGCTCGTTGTCTTTTATGTGAGACCCCTCGGGAATTGCCTCCACGCCCTTCTCATCGCCTGTCCTTCTGGACGCATCCTTGAGAAACACAACCACTTTGTCTTCTGATAAGTGCTCAGGGTCCCACAAGAGCTGGTCATCGTTTTCATACACTGAATGGGTAGAACCGGAAGTTAGTGAACGTCGCCAGAGCATGACAGGTGTGTGCTCACACACTGCTCGTCAGTGCTGTCAGCTCCTCCTTCCGCAGGGGACACTACAGCTCAGGGGAAGTGAGCATCTATCAGAGAGGAGCAGCCGCCTCATGTCTGACTTGCCCCGACTTTACCAGAGTCCAAACGCTTAGCACGTACACGCGGGGCTCCACATGCAGGGCTCAGGCAAGTTCCTCCCTTCCTGTCTGCCGTGTCTGCGAAGGGTGACAACTGTAACTTTGTCAAGGGAAGCTGGGGGGACTTACAAGCACTGTGAATGGCCCTGGCCATGTCAGGGCTCCCTGGACACTGCTAGAACTATCACCTGTGAAAGCAGTGTCTGGAAGGGCACTCAGCACACGTCAGCATGGCTCATTTCTTGGTGGTGGCACCAGGCAACGTTTCTTACTACCCTGTCTGTGTGCCTCTGTGATGCTCAGAAATGTATTATGACTACGCAAACCATTTCCACAAAAAACAAGCTATCATTTAAGTTTCATCACCATTTCTAATAAAGATTAAAGCCTGAATCTTACTATAATTTAAAAAGTGAAAAAGAGGGCGGATGACCTACAACAGAGGTTTAGTCTGCGTCTACTGCTACTGGGATTCTGAAGGACAGAATGCAAGAGACAGGTGAGCCGAGGAGGAGGAACCGCAGGGTGCACGCAGCACTGACAGCGTGGGGTCCCAGGAGCCAACGGCGAGACCTAAGGGCGGCCTGGGGCCGCACGACCCTCCTGAGCGGCTGCATGAGCACTGCAGTTAGCAGCATGGCTGTGAGCCCTGGCAGAGCCACACTGGCCAAGGCTGCGGAGTAAACGGCAGGTTCCTGGACAGTTTGGTCATGAGGGTGTAGACAGGACAGTAACTACAGGAGGTGCAAACACAGAGTATATTTAGCATTTCGGCTTTTAAAGCTAGGAGGCAAAGACTGTCAATAGAAAGAACTTGAGAAAACTTTTAAGAGATAAAGGAGAACTCTTCAGGTTCCTTTTATTATATGGAGGAGCGGACACCCAGGAAGCACGCACTGTGGACCAAGTCATACACTGCACACAGCTGCCCTCGCCCTCCCTGCATGCAAAGACGCTGCAGCTCCGCCTACCTAGCGCTTCCCTAGGAACTCTGCTCTGAAGTGCAGCGCAAGGAACTCAGCACGTCAGTCCTTCCCTAAGCTGCTGGCACACTGCTAGTCAGCTTTAAACTGCGAACGCAACGGACACGTAATAAAGTGGATCTGCATCTACTGCTACTGCTCTGCTTGGCTCTGCTCCCTCAGAAGCGCAGACTACCACCTGCATCTCGGGTGGCTAAGGCGGCAAAGGTGGGCCCATGAGTCCCAACTGCTCTCCAGCAGGCAACCCCACCTAGGTCCGTGGTAACCACGGGACATAGGTCCCACTTAAGCCAGACATCACACCACCAGAGTGCGCCACAGGACAAGCTGGACTGCTGGACAGAGGCTCACCACCGGCCAGGTGGGTCCCTAGTGCACACCAAATGGACTACAGTTCGTTACATGCAGCTGCCGCGCTCAGGAAGGGCCACGGGGAATACACCACATTGCCCTTACCTGGTTCCAGACACAGGCCAAGTTATTTTCCCATTATGTTTACACTCTAAGTAAGTAATTTCTGATTACAATCTGAACAGGCAACAGCTGTTTTTAATTTAATGTCTATTATAGAATGAGCAAAATATCAAAAGAATCCAAAATTGACAACTCCACTATTGTGATAAAACACTGCAACCAAAGGAGAAACAACGCCTACATCTGATATGCAGGGGGCACCCTGCAGTACTAGAACAAAACCCTGCAGCAGCAACAGGAAGGGGAAAACTTACTCTGTGTAATTACGTTAAGCGACACAAGCATGCTCTCAGTCACCAAAATGGAACAGAATCTTCTGAACCAACACACAATGCAACTTGGAACACACAAGCCCGTGCATTCATGCAGCGGCATGGCTGGAAGACAACCTCGAGCCCTGCACGTGAGAAGGCAGGCGCTCCACATCAGCAGCACACCGACTGGTGCCGAAGACCCTGACCGGCAGCTCTGAAACGGACTCCAGGGTGTGCGTTTCTCACGCGTGCGCAGAGGAGCCTGACGGTGGTGGTTCTCGGACCACCCTTTCAGTAGCAAAGGGTGCACACATCTTACCTCAGCCATTATTCAGAATACAATGAGAGAAATCAGCAAGAAGCAGGCGAGGGTGGTCATGCATTCCAGAGAGAAAAATGTAATTGACAAAGGAAGCTGCGAGACCGCCACCACAAAAGTGTAAGCCACTACCATCAGGAAATTAGTTCCCAGTGCATACGTACTGACTTACTGGCTGCCACTTTTACTGGAGGACACACTACTCCTCTTACAACACCTGGGTAAAAACCACCCAGTCAACACACCGGAAGATGCAAATGCTGAGCTGCAATCAGAGCTACGCTACAGTAGCGGGGCTGGAGAGGCTGCCCTGTGAACAGTTCCCGTGGCCTCTGAGTCACATCGCTTCTCCCCACAGGGTAAATGAATGCCGGCTTCACCATTACCATAACAGGCGGAGTGTCCCTAACAGGGAAACCCAAACTCCACCATGTCCGGAATCCTGCAACACTTCTTCCCAGCCAGCGCTCCTCATGAACTGGAACTGGAAGTGCGCTCAGTGGCACATGCCTGCAGTTCCGCTTGGCGGGAGGCTGAGGCAAAGGACCACCGAGTCTGGGAAACACACAGACCCAATCTCAAAAACAAAGGAAGTATTTAAAAATAACCTGCTAACTGACCGTGAGGAACAGTTTACATGGTCCTTTACTATCCACTGCTGCTTAATTTCTAGCCATCTAAAATTTCTCACATGCAAGTATGAAAATCTGATTGGGAATATGGTTCATGGTGCTTTCCCTTTTTTCCTAAATAATCTACTTTTCCACCTGATTCTCAACTGATCCGGTTCAGTTCTCAGTCTCGACACTGCCATTCCCTGGTGCGCAACTCTTAGTATTAGAGCGCTGTCCTGCACACTGCAGGGTGTTTACCAGTGTTCCTTATCTACTTGACTGGAAAACCAGCGAGGACCTCCGTCAGCACACACAGAACTGAGAAGTGCACTGTGAAGTAGGTGGCTTTTCACCTGCCATTGGCTCTAGACAAGGCTGACACTACCCCAGGAGACAGGGGAACAGGCGAAGGCGCCCAGGCAAACCCCGTCTTCCCTCGTCTCCCTGCTCGGTCGCTTCTTCCAGCCAGGCCAGGTATGGGTTCTCTCCAGAACTGCTGCTACAGCTTGGGGGATAAGAAAAGGCTCCTTTCTGCTGGTCCTCTAGCCACGGTAACTGTAAAGTGTACGACAAGCATTCCCTGCGGCCACTTTAGCCTGTCTGAAAGTAAGTCGGAGGCGGGGATGGGCAGTTGCCATCGTAAGAGTCCCTGAATCCAATTATAACTGAAGCTGCATCAACGATTTCCAGTAAAGCAACCCAGTAAATTCTTTTTTGCTTAAGCTAACTGAATTGGGGTTACGTCACCTGCAAACAAAAGGGCATCTGAAAATCTGGTCAACAAAATCTGAAGGCTGCTCATCAACCAGACTCTAATGCTGCTGCTACTTCCGGAGCACTAGGGGTGCACCAGGGCCACGAGGCTTAAGTGCTCCCCATGCACTCAGGACAAGCACTCTGCAAGCCGATGCTCACAGGACAATCTCACAGAGGAAGAGAAAAAGTGTCGTGTCCAGGGCCAGGTGTCTGTGGTTCTATTAGCAGTCTTGTTAACACCATTTTGCACCTGATTATTAACTCAGGCATCAACTATTTCACTCAGTCCCTCTGCGGTTCAGAACCAACTCATTACTATTCACCCTTTACAGGTGAGTAAGAAATACCGTGGACTTCGGAACCTGTGGGTTATGCATCTGTGGACTTTGCCAATTGCACACACAAAATATTGAGAACAAACTCTGAGCCTGTACCGAACAAACACTTTTTTTCATCATCCCATGAACAGCACGGTTTCCTACTAGTTCCAGCATCCCTATGGCACTAGCCTGAGAGGTGCCTAGGATGTGACCTACAGTTCCCTGGGGGAGTGCAAGGAGATGTGTGCAGCTGGCCAGTGTGCTGTAGAGGGAGACCCGCGCTCCCGCAGACGCTGCCGCCCACGGTGGGGAGTGAGGGAGGGCCCTAGGGCCCAGCCCGAGGCAGGAGGGGACGCTGCACACGGAGGGGAGCACGAGTGAGAACTTACGGAAATGTAAGAAAATATTAGCGAAGGTGTAGCTAAGGAGTTTGTAAACAAAATGGGTACCAGTGCACAGGGCCGGCGTGACAAGAAGGGGGAATGTAATCTGCACGGAGGCTGGGGAGGCAATCAGAAGGGAGAGACGCCTGCTGTGTACTCGGCACCCCGTGCGTCAGGGCTCCCGTGTGAGTGACAGGGAGAGTCCCAGCCCCGGGGCAAGTAAGTCCTGTAACAAAGACACCTAAGTTGGGACACTTTTACTAAAAAGGGTTTGCTTACCAACCTGACAGAAAACACCTTGTGAAATTTTTTCTGTAAGTGGTTTAATTAGCACTATCTTTTAGACAAATTTTATTTCTAACAGTATAGTACAATTTATATAATGGTTTCCTTAGGTCCTAACAAAAGTCTGAATTTGTTGAAGTTTAAAACGGAGCAAAGGCCCTCTACCACTGGAACTCCTTCAAAGCAATGTTACACTTCTAAAGTCTACGGTCTCATCTTCTTTACACAATCCAATATACCGAAAGTTTCAAAATAAAGAAAGCTTCACAAATCACACCTTTTCCTGAAAAAGATTCTATGTCACTACTTTTTAAAATCATGTGGAAATTGGTAATATCAAACCAGAATTAGTATTTTTAAAATCAGGGATTGTGATCATTCATTTACTGTTATATCTGATAATAAATATTAAAAGTGACATATATGAAGAGATCATTTAAACTATCTTTTTTTTCTTTTTTAAATCTTTAACCATAATAGCAACTTGAAATGTTTCCTCTCCATCTACTAAATACAAACTTTCGAAGGTAGTATTATGATCTTTCTTAGCTAAAACTAGAAAGAAATCCATTGGAAACAACAAAATAAATGCTCAGTTTTCCCTATTTTGTTTATTTGCAGAAAGAATGCCTGTAATGGTGAACATGTGCTATTAAGCGCAGGTGAAGCACAATACTATTCTACTGACTGTAAATAAAGCATATTTAAATTCCAACTGCCAATGGCTCATTTGTTCCTGTCTTCACAGGACATATGCAGAAAATTGCAGTATAAAATGAAGTCACTGCTCTCTGGCGTCCTTAATGTTCTTGTGAGTTACAGGAATCAACTTCCAAAGCCAACACAGCTGTGGAAACCTACGCGGTGTGTAAGGCAACTGACCGGCCTGTGGTACCTCTGACGGCCTCTGACCTACCGCCCGGCCTGAGGGCGGGGAGCGTTAGACCAGCAAGGAAGCCCCTGCTCAGAGACCCTGGGCCCGCAATAGCAACAGCCTCACTGGTACCAGAGGGCCGTGGATACGCAGAACTGCAAAGTGGAGAAGAGCACGGAAAGAAATTAATTGTGCCTTGTTTGAGTAAGGTCACACTGCACATGAACTCAGTAAAAACATACACAACCTTTTTTCTGCAGCCTACCTAAAACGAATAATCTGAGACAATCGGAAACAGATTCTCTTTTTAAAAATCTGCAAGAAGTTTCTAGTAGTGAAAGTATAACTTACTTTAGGACTACACCGAGATAAAAATGACAAAAATCATGCACAGGGCAGGGGATACAGCAGAGTAGCACAGCACCTGCTAGGCAAGCACAAGTTCCTGAGTTTGATTCCCAGTACAAAAAAAACACACAAATCATGTATAATTTAACTCTATGAGTGGTATTCCAAATTATAAAAACACAAATTATATTCTTTTTCAGTAACAAGTTTTAAAAGCAAGTGAACGTTTTGTATCAGTTGCTCAGTACCCAGTTTGTGCTTAAACCTATTACTGCCATAAAATAACTTGCTTTTAAAAACTAAATTGTAAGGGGTATTTTCAAAATACGGAAAAGTGTTTTTTTGGAGACAGGGTATTGCTATGTAGTGCAGGCTGGTCTTAAACTTGCTTATGTAGCCCGGGCTGGCCTTGAACTCATGGTGATCCTCCTGCCTCAGCCTCCCAAGTGCTGGGATGACAGGCATGTACCACCATACCCAGCTTGGGATGTTTTAAATCACTTAAAAGCAAAAAAGCATTTTTTATTTTCTAGACTTACATTGAAAAGAGTAATAAAACAGTAAACACAGTTCTTACAAGACAGGGTTCCCTTTTATAAGCTAAAGGGGTTATTTACTAGGCTGTCACATTCTTAACACATCTCACGCATGAGGTAACAGCTCACCACTTCAGAATACCGAAGACCAGCTCTGCCACTGCACGGCTGACTCACCTTTCTCGTTTTCTTTGTATCTACACACCCCCACTGGAATCTCCGCTTGAAACATGGAGCCCACCATAATCTCCTGTTTAAAAATAACAACGCATTAATGGGCTTAACAACATTTTATATTCATTTTCTAGCTTAACCATCTTCTTGGGTAAACTCTAATTTCTCTGTCATGCAACAGACGCAAACGACCTCCTCAGAGGTGTATGGCGAAGATGAACGGATAAGACTGGATGGAAATACTCATAACAAAAAAAGCACGAAATGCAACGCAGACAGTGAATACCAACTTCACTCCATAAAAACACCATTAAATTTTACTACAGACCATCTGATGAGCAAATCTGTATAATGAGAGCAGGTGAAACTGGCAGTTCAGGAGCCCACTGGGCATCCTAGCAGCAGGCTTTACAGTGCACGGGATGAGCACACACAACTCCCCTGGAGGAGGAACTCTAGGAACTGATCTACCAGGCAGGACAGGCACCGATTCCGAAGGTCTGGAATGTCACATTATCCTACCGACCTAAGTCCCATTTTACCTATTACACCTCAGAGACACGCTCTGTATAAATGAAGTTATTACTGGGCTTGCACAGGAAGACCAGCCTGTCTCCCAATCACTTCTCTAAAATGAGCAGCATACATAACACATCTTCTCCACCAATTCAAATTCTCGGTATGTCTCCACCACGAAGAGTCCTCTGCTGTCACTCCCGGTGCCTCTTTCAACTTTCTTTACTTGTGCCATCCAACAGTGGTCAAGTCACCAACGCCTGCTGGGATGCTTCTGAGTATCAAGGCCTGGACCTGTCCAGACTGATTCTACCCTCACGCGCGCAAGGCCTTGCAGCCAAGGTGAGAGGCCTCCAAGTGACTCAGCGTGACGCCAGGGCTTAGAAGTCTGACTGCTTTTAAGGTAAGGTGCTTCCTTGCTCTACTGAGCTCCGAGTACTTCCCTCTACCTGCCGATTCCTTCTGCAGGGTACAAAAGGGAAGGGAGAGCACTTACAGTCGTGATCACCGGCTCATTATGTGATCTTGTACATAATTTCTATTTACTCTTCACCAAACCTGACACACTGACATTGTTATTCCCAAGTTCTAGATGAAAGGTGAATCTGAGCATTTTCTTGGGAACGTGCAATAAGATCTATTTTGTTACTATTTAACTTAGGTTTCACTTAAAAGTTGTTTCCTCTAAGTTTCTATAAAAACCCAATTTCACCTTATATGCCTTCAAAAATTTAATCTCAAATCTTGATCATTATTTATCCAGCAAGACCACGCAGAAAGCAAACAATGGGGACGTACTGAACCACGCTCCACCACACTTCTCCTGGGGCAGGGACCAGCACCCCAGCAACAAAGCTTCATCTCCCCTGTGTCAGCCTCCTCCAGCTCTTCTTCAGCACTTAGAAAAAAAGCACCGAACACTCCAGATGCAAAAGCAATTAACATATGTGGGAGAATGGGTATACAGACTTGAATTTGCATTGGAAAACAGCCATTTAATAGGATTCCAAAGACTTCTCTTTCCTTTGACTTTCTGCATGGTATAGGAATTTTGACTAAAAACTGGACTGAAAAATATTTGCCCAAATAGGTAACCAAAACTGGAAGGAACTTTTCTGATCCTGTTTTTCATCTTTAGCCCCATCACTCACTCAAATTAACTTAAACACACTGCCCTGGGCTAACTGCACCTTACCACTCTGGCCCACGCTCTCCCCAACACCTGTGTCTTCTTGTCGGTCTCGTTCAGTTTCACACTAACAGCGCATTTCCTTAGTTGTTTAACGTCCCTACAGGGATGGCCACTCATGCAGCAAAAGCCTAAGACTGGAAAAGAGGCTCTTGTTTCGTAACAGCCACACGGCAGGTGTTCAGTCTTTTTCTGAATGAAGAAAACTGTTTCTCCAGCTCTTCAGACCCTGGCACTAAGTATCAGCGGCTACGTGGCCTCCACACTGCTGCAAGTGGCACAATGTGTGTCCACGTGGAACTCCTTTTGGGGGTCTACTTCTAGCTAAAATCTGGAATTCTCAGGTGCCCCAATCTAAGTACGCTGGAATCACTTAATTTTTCCTAAAGAAAGGAATTCTGAATATGAGCTGCTCCTTTACGTAAGTCTGCCCCATGCATTCTAAACCAAGCCATCTTAAAGCACACGTGTATGAATGCACACACCCTCTAAAATTGTGAAGGCCCAACAGTATTAATCATTCAATAATTAAATGAACTTATTAGAATGTACAAAAGTCCACTAATTTGATGTCCTGTCCACTAATTTGATGTCCTGTGCTATTTTGCTTTCAAAGTAATGCACTAAATTTACAAAACAGATCCAGGAAGAGAAGGAACATAAAACTCAAATGGATTTCTTTTTTTAAAAAGAGAATGGATTAATAATCATCTCTCAGCAGAAATAATGTCATTTCTTCTATATAAATGGCTTTAACCAAGTCTGCATACATTTTGACATATGTTCCTAAGAGGGCAACATCTTTGCAATTTAAAATTAATTCTTTAACTGTCTGGTTAATTATATAATGCTGTTTAATTTTATAAATAAAAGCTAGTGTAATTATGTATAGTTTTAAAGAAGCCCAATCTGTCTTTTTACATAAAGACTTGTCAGTTATGACTATCAACATTAAACTCAATATTGAGTTTTTCCTTTGTAAAAAAAAATTCAATCTAAACTATCAAAATTTACTTAATAGACATCATGGCCTCCACACTTTTTTTCAAACTATATGTATTAGAAAACAAATGTGATACTTTCGACAGAGTGACAGAAGTCTAAGTGAGCAGCAGCTCAGGACTAGCTCAGAAGCTTGGATGTGTCAGTCTGGGTACTGACTCGCCTAGCAAAGTCCAGTTCTTGCCACACTGTCATTTTATTTGACGAAACAGAAACACGGCTCTCACTTGGGTGTATCAAGGAGAAATCTGAACATTTACCAAATGCTTGAATGTCATGAAAGAGCTTACACGTCAACTTTATCAATATATGTAGGAATAAATACACTTGGCTTTTTAAATATTAATTTATCTAAGTTTTGGAGAAATAAGGTTCTAACTACCTTTTTCCAGTCTTCTGATGGAATATAATCTTCATCTTCTTCAGATTCTTCTTCTATTTCACTGTCTAAAATAAATAACAATATTACACAATGATTGTTTATCCTGCCTACATCTGTATGTCTTCATATTATTTTTACATCTCTTATCATGAATCTGTCAAGCTAAATAGAACGTGCTGATTTAGTCAAAGATATTTTAAATCAAATAATATTTTATCACTTAAAATAAATCAAAGGAATGAGTTAAAAAAAAAAAAAACCTTCTAGAAATCTCTCTCCACAAGAAGTGATTTCCTACAAAAACTCGGGAAAGGTGGAGTCAGGACAGTTTCTAGCCCTCACTCTGGTACCAGAGCCTGGCGATGGCTAAGCGACACGATCTCAGCTTGTCTAACTCATGAAGGTCTGGTTTCCAGGCAGTGCTCCCCAAGCCCCGGGACTTCGACAGCACCGCCTCGGGGAGTGCAGCACGGAATGGAGGCTGAGTCCTGGAGACTTCAACTCTCTACAGGCTCCATCTTACTCAGAGGGGCAAGCTGCTGTTTTCTCGATTTCAGTAAGAATGTATTAAACAAAAGGGGAACACGGAAACCACTGGACTGTCCGCATACGAAGTCCGAGAGGATGCCACGCATGACAATGAGCACACACGCACGCCTTCCACGGAAAAGCAAGGGTAGCAGGAACAGGCGGAGCTTCCGCAAACATGACACAAGAAAGCCCAGAGCAGGGGCAGGAAGCACGTATCGTTCCGAGAGGCAGAGCATGTGCTCCGCATTCCCTGTGTTACGAGCTTTGACAGTGGATCTGTTGTCTGTTTAGGTAAAGGGAAGACACCACTACACTTTCCACACTCAAAACTAACACAACTATCTCAGGAGCTCATCTTTCCTTGCACTAGAACACCTCTTGCACCGGGTCTCTGGTCAGAACTCAGTTTCTTACACGAAAATTATAATTAGCAGCACCAACATTCACTTCCCAATTAAGCTGGCAATCACTCACTCAAAGTGCCAGCCACGTTTGAACAGTTATCCCCACACTGCCTTTCATAAGGTTACTTCTCTTCAAGGGCTTTTCTTCCTTTCCGAAAAACAGAAATTTAGGCCACAAATTTAATACTACTCAGAGTCAGCTGTCCTGACCAAGCAACCATCTTCTAGAATACTCGGACTCAGAATGAGCAGGCAGGCGGAGCGAGTGAACACGCAAACACGGGTCCCGCCCTCAACAGTCAACAACTGCTTCAGACCGAGAGCCACAAGGCCAAGGCAGCAAGCTCTCGGTCACAGCCACCATGTGCGATTCTACTTCCGTCTACACCAGGCCGCACCATGTGACAGGGTCTTCGACGGTTCTGCCACCTGGGGACGTCGCAGCCATCTGCGTCTGTGCACATATATATTCTAGGACAGCGACGGCAAACCTTTTAAAGACTGAGCGCCCATCTGCTACCAAACTCACTTATTTATCACGAAGTGTCAACACTGCCAATAAGCCTGAACACTGAGGTTTTAGTTTAGAAAAAAAAGCAACTCTACAGTAACACTGTTTGTCTTAAAACAAATCCGTGCCGTAGGTTCACCACCACTGTTCTAGCTTGTGCACACAGCCAACAAATTGCTGGAGGACACACTTCTTACAATGACGCACTCCAAGCGAGCAAGAGGCTACCTCAGAAGAGGCTACCTCAGAAGAGGCTAAGTGGCAAAGCGAAGTAGAAAATGAGGACTGGAAGACTGCACGAAGGGAGAAGCACAGCCAGAGCCGGGGCACCGCAATCGCCTGGTGTGGTCACCAGCCAGGGCCTTGGGCTGTTACACAGTAATGTGCGAAGAAATCCATTTACTTTTGAAAGAGACTGCACAGTAAACAAATGAAAAAGTGGTGATAAATGCATTAGAATTTTAGGTAATACATCAGTCAAATTTACACTGTAACTACAGCAGTAACACTTACTTGTATCAAAATATTTACACCGACGTGGGCGGATCATCTCCTGTGCGTCTTGAGAGGCGACAGACTGCGATGGGTCCTCATTGGAAGACTGCGTTTCATCCTCCTGACCTGATGAGTCCTTTATCTGCTCCTCCTACCAGACAATGAGTTACAGTTATGGAGGGCGTGAAGAACACTGCGGCAAGCAGAAAGCAGAGCGCTGAAATCATCGCACGGAGTGCTCTGCGCTGGCCCTCGGAGCAGGAAGAGACGTTAGCGGAAACACTTGTGAAGTCCACACGGTTTGGTTAATACTGTGTGTTAGCGTTGATTTCTCAGTTCTGATAAAGGTACCACGGTCACACAAGCTGTTATTATTAGGGGAAGTTGGGTGAAGAACATACAGGAGTTTCTGTATCCACTCTGAAACTCTTCTAACATCTAAAATTACTTCAAACTAGAACAAAAAGAAACGAATACAGAAATGCCAGTAACCCCTTACTGTTTAAAATCAACAGTATTTTTAAAATGCTGTTACAAACTACCTAGAAAAGCACTGAGAAGAATTCTAGAATGACACAGACCAAACTGTTACTTCTCAGAAGCGGACCACAGAGAATTTTCCGTATCTGTATTACATGTTTCTGTAGTGCCTTGATTTTCAGCATTTCATCTCCTACTGTATTTAACTTACACATTATGTTCAGAATTTGGCATTATCTGTGACTTCAGTCATCCACTACAGGTCCTGGGACACATTAGGTGTGACAGAAACCTACAGTAAATACTTCAATTAAAAAAAAATTCCTTACAGCAAAAGACACTGCAATGAACTCCCCTCACATTAATCACCCTCACGGGAGCAACGGAGCCCACAGCTCCTGCCACTCTCTCAGCACAGCTGGAGTTCCTCTCTCTGCGGGTCTTCAGCAGCACTGTCCTGGCTGCCTCAGTGTCTTGCACTCATTCAAGAGATTCAAGACCTTCCCCGGCATGGTCACTTTCACTTGGGGGGAGGAGCCGGAAGCCGCACAGACACAGCCAGTGAGTAAGGTGGATGAGGACGCATGTCACGAGCCCGCCTTCCCGCTGGATGGCGCTCGGCAGCAGCAGTCACTACAATGTTGACCATACCTTGCAAAGGCACTGGACAAACAGCACTTCCAAAGCTGCTTCACAAAGTGGAAGTAGGATAGGAAGCAAGGGACACTGTCTTGAGGGGGATTCATGGCAATGTGTTTTTGACTGCAGGAAATTTTACTTATGCATTGATTTATTTAGTTTTTTGAGGCAGGGTCTCACTATGTAGTATCACAGGCTGGCCTCAAACTTACAGTGATCATCCTGTTTCAGGCTCTCGAGCGTTGTGATCAAAGGTGTGCGCCACCGGGCCTGGCTAATAAATTTTTAAAATTTAAATACTCATCTATTTTGGTTACCCACTGCATAGGCTCCACGGCTAGAAGGCGGACTACTGCACGTGTGTGAGAGCTTACCTTATTCTCTCCACTGCAGCCGCTGTGGTCGTCATTATCAGCGTCTTCATCATCCTCACCTTCCTCCTCCTCCTCCTCCTCCTCCTCATCTTCTTCAGGTAGTCGGACAGTACTGTCATAACCATAAAGGCTGAGAAGTTCGTGAATTGGCATGTCGCCTTCCTAAACAGACCAAAATAAAAGTCAATGTTTAAAATCAGTGATTTCATATCTCTAGGCTACATTTCATAAATCGGTAGTCACTCTATGCAGACTTAAAAATATACATAAAGAATTTTCAAATTATACAAAGTAAAACTGAAAATATTTTTGAAAACTAAGAACATGCCAGTCTTTCAAATATTTCCATAAAATTGACTAATTTTAATTGTTAACAAAATCTGTTCAAATATAATAAAAGTGACATTTGTCTAAAACTATTTTTTGCAACCAATCCAGTATATGTACAATGACAGTTATTAGAACTTACACATGGATTAACTATTAAATGAACCGTATTAATCTGGAGCAAGTAGAACTAAGAAACAGGCTTTCAACTAAGTTAATAAACCTAGAAAGAGCGATGAAATTCATAGCCTGACCAAAACACATTGAAAAGCAGTGATGATTCACAGGATGATACTGCCATCACATGCATTACACTCCTTTCTATGCTATCTCCACCTCCTACGTGGAAAATCATCTCTCACCATCCTTATTATCTATGCTACAGAGCTGTTCTCTCATTTCACAGGAAAGGAAACACAGATACTTCCTTCCCAAGTCACACAAGTCACACAGTGTATGGAGGCAGACTCAAACCATACAGCTCCAGAAGCCATCATCCTACGCAGACAGCAGGTGCTTCAGCCAGAGCTTTCGATCCTCCACAAGCACCTTCATCGGATGAAATGAAAAGATACTCTTGTGCAGTGAAATGAAATAAGCTTTCTGGAGAAGGTACTCATCGTTAATGAAGTCATGCAAGATATCAGGGAAACATCACAAAAACCCCAATCATTTGAACACATCAGACACACACAAGATACATAAACACATGCCCTGAAAAAACCCACAGAAATGTCACTTTAGAAGCCAGGAAATGCTAAGCATGACATAAGCTATTCTGTATTGCTTCAGCATGCTGGGCCTTATTTTGGGGCAGAAGTAAGCCTAGCCCATGTTAAGACACTGCTGCCGTGCACACAGGTGCACTGGACAGATGAAAACCAGGTGACACTGTCACTTAGATCACAAAAAACACTCCACTCAGACCCCATGAGCAAGAGGCAATCTAATGATTACAATGTGCACTTTTTTAAACAGGATGGTAGTGTCACTTAATACCTCTCTTTCACATTGTAAACGGATAGTTGTAAATCAATTTGTGAGCCATTTCTGAAGGAGAAATCAACTGCGAGACAACTAATCACCTGCCGCTGTGATCTGAAAAGTGGTACCCACACAGGCACAGTAATGGCGCTCCAGCGCAAAGACCAGCTGACACACTTACCCCGGCTCTCCCACTACTCTCAGAGCACAACAGACAGTCCTTGCAGTGCTCAGGGGCACGGACTGCTCAGAGCCGGCCCACACACCACGCCTGTGGGAGAAGACACTGAAATCTCGGCGTGAGGAGCCAGTACTTAAGAAATAAACAGAACTTCAAAATCAAGAAAAGCAGTGTAAGAGAAAGACACAGGAAAGTCTAGTTCTATATACAGTAACAAGGAGCTGTCATGAAGCATCTCCTATGTGGCACATTTATGTTCCACACTTTGCTGCTTTTCTCTCTCAAAACATGAACAGAGCCAGGGCAGAATCTTACTGGATCTTTAGCAGTACCAGATAGGACTGCCTGCTTTCATTTGCTACTTTTATATGTGAATCAGGAAACCACCAGAGAGAAACATCACGTACTGACAGACTTTAGTGTGACACTTAGACCCCTAATCCCTGTCTGCGTGACTTCCCTCAGACTCATCCTGCATTCCAAGCTAGCAGCAGGCTCAGCCAGATGTCACTGCCATGAGAGCCACTGCTGTAGTGCCGTAGGCAGAGGAGACAGACCAGGAGAACACCAACAGTCGTTTGAGACTCACACCTGCACAGGCCCCAGGAACTGATGATGCACTTGTTTCACAGTTTATCCTCAGAACTACCCGAATACATGTTACTATGAACTTTGGTTTACTCATTTATTTTCATTTTCCGTTTGAGATCAGGTTTTACTATGTGGTCCAGGCTGGTCTACAACTCGCAATCCCGCTTCACCCTTGCAAATGGCTGGGATTACAGGAGGCAGCATTATACCAAGTTACCTCCAACTTCTAGAGTACTGTGAGAAACCACACAGCTATTTAAATGGCAGTGCTCTATTCTGACATCATCTTCTCACTACACCATGGCATTTGGTCCGTTCTAAGAAACAAAGTAAATTATTGGTCAGACAAATGTTTTCTACTGTTGGCCTGTCATTTATTTAAGGGCATTTAAAAAGACTTTAAAGATTTAAGAAAGTGCTGGGTCTCATCTCAGAGGCCATGACCAACGGGTCTCAGGTGGGTCAGACTCAGGTAATGCTGCTGGTACTAGCAGAGGACCACCTGAAGAACCACCTCTGCTGGGGATCTAGCTCAGCGGCAGAGCACCTGCCCGGCAAGCACGCGGTTGTGAGTTTGATTCCCAATACCAAAACAAAACACACCTCGACACATCCTTGATAAAATAACAATAAAAGGTTACCCATACAGCGGGAACACTATTTGGCCATAAAAAAGACCGAAATCCTGTCATCTGCAGCAACACAGATGCAACTAGGGATCATTAAATAAAACAGACACAGAAAGATGAACACAAGTTTTTTCCTACTGCTCTTGGACACAAGTATGTCAACCTTGTGGAAGATCAGAGTAGAACGGTGGTCACTAGAGATGCGAAGGGCGGAGAGACGAGGCAGCATGGGGGTACTGTTGGCTCTTTATCACAATGGAGTAACTAGTGGTTAAAACCATCTACATTTCAAAACGACTAGAAGAATACACAGATGATTAACGGTTCAAGAGATGGAAGTACTTACTCCGAACGGATTATCACTACACGCTGTATACAGGTAGTGAGTTACCATGTTTGCCCACAGAGAAAGGTAGAGGGCAGCGGTGGGTGTGGACGCATTCTTACTGGAATCGGACTTAGATGGAGACAGCAGCCTGTGTCTTTTGGCCATCAGTTTCTGGAGTTTTTCTTCAGCTTCCTACATTCTCTTGGCCAAAATTAGCACACTTACAGCCTCTTCCTTATTTTTCTTAGTGCACTATTTCCTCAGAGCAACTCGTTGCATTTGTGTTGCGGGACACACGGAAAACACATGCCAAATCTTGGGTGTTTTTTTCTGTCTTTTTGAGACAGGGTCTCACTATGCAATTCAGGCTGCCGTTGAGCTCACAGCTCCTGCCTCAGCCTCCCGAGTGCTAGGATTACAGGGGTCCTCCACCACACCGGCTGGTCTTAGGCACCTTCTCCCTGTTGCACACCTTCTCTGCTTGGGTGCTTTGGAGACTGCAAAGTTTGCCAATTCTGCCAGTTCTTTTGTCTCGGGTGAAGGGCACAGTGGTATCCATCCACCAGGCTAGGGATGATCTTCTCTCCTGTTCTAAAAACCACTTTGGGAACCCTTGGACTGGCAACCACAATACACGCCCCAACAGACTTGTGCTTTCTTTGACCAGTTCTCCTTGGTCCGTGACAGTAATCACCTTCACTCAGTGGCAGGTGGAGACGAGAGGGGTGAAAACATCCCGCTTCACATTTTGTTTCTGGAATTTTATCAACAGGCGCTAAAGAAAGATGCATGAACTGTTTTAAGCAGAGTTTGGAGATCTAGGGACTGACAACTTCGTAGATCTAGGGACTGACAACAACGAAAGCTGATCTGCAAAAACGAAGCCAACCAGGTAGGAAAGCAGAAAGGAAGGAAATATACTCTGGGCGGAATTGTGTCCGAGGCCTGATTGTGTCGACAGGCTTAATGAAATCCCATGAGCCCTGCACTAAATTTTTCATTGTCCAGATGGACTTGTCTTCGTGCTCCCCAGATTCTGATGCTACAAATAGTACAGATATCCTGGAAAGCAAACACTGTATTTTTCCCTCTGAAATAAAAACTAAAAGATGAATAAAAATTTGCCAACTGCATGGGGTTCTAGTAGGGCCTGTCAGTCACCTGCTCCAGAGAACATCTCATTAGCTTATGTTATTAAACCCGACATTCTGCCAGGAACGGACAGGCTTCCTTTACCTTAAACGGAAACATCACAAGGAAGTAGCAGTGCTTTATTCCCATTCAAATAAATGTTAAAAATGTAGAAAAGGGGGAGCAGAGACAATGACGTGGCAAGTAGTGGATTTTCACAGCACAGCACAGCACATATCTTTGAGGCAGAAATTTCTGACATCCAGAGTGACTACTGAGATGTAATGGTTGATACGTTTTTGTGTCAAATTGAGAAGTTCAGCTGTTTAACCAAGTGACTCAATAGGGAGCCAGGACCCTCACTTTGTAAACATCCTCATCCTGTGCAAGAGGAGGACATGGAGAGGGTGTGAGTGCTACACCTGACCTGGGAGAGGAGGCTGCTTACAATATAAGGGAGGAAAAAAGGCTTGTCCTCCCCACTTTTTGGCTCTTGTTTTTGCTGTCTTCTGCCATCTTGAGCTGTTGCCCCTGTGCCATGCCACCCTGCCTTAGAGCTAGCTGATTATGGACTGAAACCTCCATAAACTGTAAGCTTAAACAAACCTTTCCTTCCTTAATTTTGGGTGTCAGGTATCTTGTCTCAGCAATGAGAGAAAAGTAACCAAGACAGAATTTGGTGCCAGGAGTGGAGTCATTACTGTGACTGTATCTGACCATGGGGTTCAAGAACCTTTGGAAATGGTTTATGGGAAGAGGTTGGAAAGGTTCGGAGATGTTGCCTGAAAGACTAGAGCTGGAATGCCTTAGGCTGTTCTGTGTGAGAGAGTTTGGTCAGAGCTCAGAAGACCAGAAGGTCAATAGAAATCCAGCTGGTAAACACCGGGTTCAGGAGGCTTCTGCTGGGAAGAAGGACTGCACTGGCTGATGGACTTCTGATGATGTTTGTTATGGCTTGGCAGAAAGTTTGTCTGCATTTTGCTCGCATCCA